ATTTATTTAGATTAAAAGTAAATTTTATATAGAAAGATAATTATAGAGTGAGTCGCTTATATATCTTGTTTTTCTGTCTTCCCTTCTACGATGTCGTATAGATGACAAATACGACACATCTATGTCGCAGTTGACTTTAAAATATACCTCAATAAAAGTATAAACTACTGTTTATTTGTACTTGCGGTATCTGTTCTTGTCCAACATCTGATCTTAAAAAAGGTTAAAAACGATTAAATGTTGTTCTGCCTATTAGTTTGCTTGAAAAACTGCTGCTGGAACCGAATTAGATGAATTTTCGTTGATCATATCAATAGCTACTTCACAGTGCAGTCTATTTGATGGTTTGACCATAAGTTGAATGAGCAAATCTCTCAACTTCCAATCAGCTCTGATGCCTTGATAATCTAAGTTCAGAAATTGTTGCGAACATGGATCGTCAATGGCTGCACTCAGTAAGTTTTGTACTTCGATGACAGATACTTGATCAACAACCGTTAAGTGCACAAGTAATTTAGCAGCAGCACAACGTCGTGTTAACGATAACGATGATTGAAGAGTATCGATAAGAAGTTCGTTTGACTGACGTTCTGATACAAATCGCAACTGTTCAAAATGATCAGAACTCCAACTCCATGAGCATTTGAATATTACTTTGAAGAACATGTCCACATAATCAGGGGTAACTTGTTCAAAGCATGCGTACACATATAAGTAATCTGCTTCGTCAGATTCACTTCTTTTGCTCATCTCATAGAGACCTTTTCGAAAAGCATTCTCTCCAGACGAACTTTGACGAACTGCAATACGAAATTTATCAGGAATTTCTTTACAAACTTGTTTTGCCACTTGTATATAAGGTGGAACACGAAAGATTGACGTATTATTAAAGCTTTCGTACATATCATCAATGAATTGAGGTAGCAGAACTGACGCATTTTTTATGATCCAGTTACTCGTCCCTTTATATTCATCGCCACGTCGATAGGACGTGTAAATACTTGCATTTGTCATATGCGAGTAGTAAACATCAACAATATGATACTTTTCTGGTTCTGTGATTATATGTGAGTACATGGCGGATGACGTCGCTTGACGAATAAGTGATGAACGTGTGTGCTTTCGAAGATGATCAAGTTTATTAAATTTCTTTCGCATGAAACGATCATTCTTTCGTTTGAAAAATAAGGACTGAATGCATACAGCAACGAGTTCATCCGAATCCTCTTGTTCATTATTAATCACAATATTCCAGAGCAAACTCTGAACATGTTTCTCTTCTCGGAAAAAATATAGATTTCTTGCGGCAGCCACTTTACTTTTGGCGAGACAAGTATCAAGTAGAATTCTAGTTAAAAAATCGATGAAACTTTCATTATTTTCGAAGAGCCAATATGGTATATGTTCGAGAAGCCAACACAGAAACAAAACATCGGTGGAATCTGGTAAACAAGTTGACAACGATTGCATAAAGGTAATAAGGTAATCTTCAACTTCTGATGAAAGACTTTTGATTAATCGAAAGAATGATACTTCATAATAATAATTATTCGTCTTATCGGACATTTTCGATTTATTTTCGATAGTCTTTTCAAAGATGTTGTATTCTTTTTGCAGAATTTGATCAATCTCTTCAATCGTGAGTATAGCAAGAGTATTGAAGAGTTCTTCAACGTCTGAAAGCCATTTTGACGTGTTTTTATTCAAATGATCGAAATAATTAATAATTATATTATTACTTTCTTCTAGATACTGCCATTGTTGATCCTTGATTAGTTCGATAGCCCTAGCTCGAAAATGATCGTACTCACTAGTTAACAGTTCACAACATATTTCGACGATAGTTGGCGTCCATGTGTTGGATAAAGCTAACAGCAGAGCTCCCTGGTAAGCGAACGAGCAAAGTCGCTCGTCGTATCGATGACTAAGCCATTGAAGTACAAACGAAGACGCATCGTCATCCATACTTGTCTTTTTTGCTAACGTTTGTTCGATTCGAATGAATTCGACATTTTCTATTTCTGAAATATGAGAAAGGATGGTGGAAACCATCGATGCTGCTCCAATGGTTAACACCGTTATCGGATCTTCTTCAAGACTTTTCAAACATTTTTGACCTAAAGACTGTGATGTCAGGTTGTTGATAGTCTGATGAGGTGTTTCTTTGATAATAGAGCCATCGAGAAACCGCACGTATGAATTCAATTCACACAAATGCATACTTGCTAAAAGAGTCGAACGTATTTTTGTTATATCGGAAGTTGAGAAAAACTTTGTGGAAAGATGTTTCGAAAAAATTGTAGATGTATATTGAAAAATCTGATTTAACTTCACCGCATTTATTGAGTGTTGTGTTTGGTGCACATATTGACTAATATCATGCCTCAACGAAGGAAATAAAATGAGTGCCTCACATATAGCTTGTTGTTCAGCTACTGTTACGGTCTTCAGTCGTTGTAATATATTATTGATCATGCTCTTTTCCAATGGAAAATCTTTATGGATAAAAGTCATACAACGGACGAAAAGCGCAACATACGTTAAAAGTGGGATTGTCGGTTCGAGCTCTTTCAAAGAGGTCATCAAACTAACATAACGTTCTCTATGTTGATCGTTTATCTCCTTATCTGAATTAGTCGAAAAGAAAATACAGCAGATATTTATGGTAGCATCTAATCTCCAAACAGGTTGTTTTATTTTCTGAACTGCGATCCATAGCTCGTTGAATTTCGTCTCCAATATTTCCCGTTGACTGGAGTCGTAACTACTTTTGGACAATCTAGCTGTACAACACGAGGCAGCATACAATTCTAAATCAGTCTGTGCATGTATCATACGATGTTGCTCTTCTATCATAGCTAACTCTTTGGCATGCTTTTCTTTCTCATAACTGTCTATACGTATGCTACTTGCAAGAAACTGGAAACAGTTGTCTTTGTACGCTTTGAAAAATTGCTTATGGTTGTGTTCAAGTCTTGATATACTGATAAAAGGAAGAATAAAGTTTTCCATTCTGTGTTGTGTAATTGTAGGTAGAAGAACTGTGTATAAAATCCAAAAACGAATAGAATACGTTTTCATCGTAAGCATGACACAAAGAAATTCGGTTAGCAAATGTAAAAATGGTAAAATAGATGTCTCATCGAAAGAGATCTGATTTTGTGCAAATAATTGCATATATAGACTTTGAACAGGATTCGGAACGTAGGCAAGGAGAAGCGTTATTGGTTTGTTTTGTAGAAGTTGAAATGGATGTGTTCCACCTTTTAAAAATTTCAAATCTTCTGATTCGAGTTCTTCGATCGATATGGTATTAGAAGACGACGGACCGACACAACAGATAAAAGGCAATAATCGAACGAGTTCTTCTTCGTTCCAATGAGTCATACTTGATAGTTTAATTGCTGGTGGTATTTTAATAACGACGAGAGGACTATAACTACCCTCGGAGTAACGTGAAATTAAAGAAGATGTCTGGGCGCGTAATAATTGGCAATAAGCATGCGAAATGGATTGGATAAAATCGAGGATATTCTCCTTCGAATCAACGGCCAAATACTCGAAAATATCAATCAGATTAGTTCTGAACTTGGAAAATGGATTGATGCAAAAGAATTCACGTAAATACAGGAGAATAACTTTCATATGACGTACAGCCCGTCGCCAGACTTCAGATCCGATATACTGTTCATAGTTGGCGGATCGATCAATGCTATAAAAGCAAAATAAAACAACTAAACTGTGGACCATCTGTGGAGTTATGTTTGTTGTTGATGTGGCGATTATTTTTTCACATTGATCAATTAAACGTTTCAATTTCAGTGTTCGTTCTGTAATTGTGTCCCCCATATATTCAATAAAATATGGGGAAAGAGGCGAATCACGATGCATACGACGAGCTGCAAAGATGACTGATATTTGTCGTTTTCTTTTTGAATGATTTAGCTCGAGACCTCCGTACAAAGCGACAATAGCAGTTAATATAGATGCATGAATTTCTGTTGTTGGAAAGGATTGTGAAAGTAGATACGCTCGCATACTGCCTGGATGTTTAGGTAAACGATCATAATCTATCGTACCAATTGTCATTAAGATTCGATCGACATAAACATCAACTTCTTCGTTGTATAGACCATATTGTCTCCAAATAATTTCACAAGTAATTGATGTGATCCATCGTGGCATTGTTGGACTTTCACGTACTGCATTATATAATATACGTACCATTTTCAAGGTAACTGTCGGATCTTCTTTCAGAAACGAATGGTCAAGCCAGTTATTCACTAGTGGAATGGGTAGTCGAGCTAGAGCCATCCTTAACTCGTTTTCAAAAATGTAAGTATTCCCATTCTCATATATATGAGCATCTAACAAAGTATTTAATATATTGTATACAATCGACAGTGACGGTAAACAAGCTAAATCATTCACAGCACTGACGAACCATAGCGATCCCAGTGGTATATGTTTATTAGCAAGATTAGTTTTAGATTGCAATTCAATGCAAAAGTCATCGTAGTTTTCCGAAGTCCAGTGGAAACTAATCCATCCCATGACGAGATTAAGAGGTTCTCGTAATCGAGGATTCGAAAATAGTGAGAGAAAATGTATTACTAATTTTTTAATATTTTTTTCGATACTCGAATTATCGATGCTCACTAGAGCATAGAATACAAAATATTCTTGAAATGTCAAATGCAGAAAACTAAATACTGCAAGAGCTCGTGCAGCAACAATTCCTGCATCTTCACTAAGTAGTTGCATGAACTTTTCTGTGTGCTGTCGAATTTTCGACGAACTATAAGTCATACCGTTTGAATTTTTATCATACCATAGCTTAAGTGATAAATAACATAGATGATTTAAATCAAATTCGTCAATGAGACCAGATCCTGAGTGAGAATGAATATAAAAGGCCATGTTTGAAAAGATCGATATTAATGCATCTTTAGGAATATTTAATTGATGATATTGCCATCTTTGCAGCATTAATTCTACAACTTTTTTGTACAGTTGCACTCGAGTTGTTTCAAAAGTGTCAACGCCATGCCGAGCGAATAATGTACAGATGATTGACAGAACAGATGGATTTGATGCCAGTGATCGTAGTTTTTCATTTGTCTCGATTTTTGAAATAAGATTTTTTGCTTTTAAATTCGACTGATATTTAATTTTATTCTCTTTAAAATCGAGTATATATCGATTGAATAAATGAATTATTTCATCTTGTACATGTAAACACCAATTTTTAACAAAACTATGTAAATATTCTACATTCATTGGTTGAATCGTGTAATGTGTGATTAGTTCACCATTGAGAGGATGTATAGTATAATTAAGAATTCGACTTGTGATTAAAATAAGATTTCTTCCAAATAAACCTTCACGTCGAAAATCAAATTCAAGTTCTTCTTTTGCCATAAAAGCATCGTCGAATGGTGAAATAAATTCATGTGACATACAATAAGATTGGATAAAGACGCGCACTAAAGCAATTCTCGATTATGCAATTCAGTCGTTGCTACTTCATCCAATCCGTCAAGAATAATAAATGCATGTCCATATCGAACAAAATCTTTCAAAATCCCAAATCCATCATTGACATAAGCCTGACCAAACCAAGTATGATAACCAATATAGTCCAATAAACGCGAAGTAGAATGATTCTCCAACCACTGAGTAAACTCTCCAATTCGAATTAAGATCGGAATACGTACAGGTCCCATATCAATACCATTGACAGTAATAGTCTTCTCCTCGATGAATAAAGCTCGAGCAAATTGACAAATTAACCATCGTGCAAATGTTGTTTTGCCACTACCTGCACTACCGAGAAGTACATTCCAACGATCATTTCGAATCGATTTAACAAGATCAATAAAATCTACATCTATTTCTTTTTCTTCTTTGATTGGTTCATCAATATGTTGTGATGGCAGAAAATTCTCAAATTTATTTTGTCTATGTTGTAGGGTGTGGGTTTAAAGGACAACTACATCCGCAATCACACCGACACCGACACCCACACCGTAGTGTTCGTTAGATTATTTGTGTTAACTGAAAAATAATTCAAATTTTGGATTAAATGACAGAACTGTTAATTTTCAATATTATTTGGTAAATATTCTGTTCCAATTTCAATTATTCATATTTTTAAAACATGTTACGAAGATCTTATGAAAGTACATATATGCTTTTGTTTTCTTTTGTTTGCCTTCTCTATGTCAAGCAAAATCCATTAAAAAAATACCCAGAGAAAGAATCTAACAGTGAAAAAACACATGACCCCCGTATATTACTCTTAGTTGTATGGCTGTCGAGATAAGAACGAAAAAAACCTGTAAAATGAGAAATAATTTCCAACCAATTCAAACCTATGTTGTCGTGCTGAATAAAATACCGAATTAAAAATTCTTTTGAAGGTACAATCGTGTAAAGTGTATATAGACATATAAATATTATTAAAATGACATCAATATCTATTCAATTTCAATTGAATGATCAACAGCCGGTTGCAGCAAGCTTACCAGCAAACTTTACTCTAGCCGATTTTAAGAGTGCTGCTGATAAAGTTTATAATAATACAAGTTTTCTTTATTCTTTTGTATGCCATGGAAAAGAATTCGAGTTAAATGATGAAGACAAATTCAATAATTATAAAGCATTAATCACGTCAGGTACAACAATTTTCACAATAGAACATCACAAATGTTTTTTACCGGACACACTTATTCAATGTGCTGATCAAAATGAAATAAATATTCAAGATGTTCAGTTAGGTGATGCTTTACTAGCATTTACTACTTTTGGTGAGATAGTAACGACAACTGTTGAAGAAGTGTTTAAACATGAGGTCGATGAGTATGTAGAATTACAAATAGGAGAAAACCGAGTGAATGTAACACGCGAACATCCATTTTTTATTGGAAATGGTAACTTTTGTTCTCTTGACAAGTTACGTGTCTCTGATTGTATTTATAGCTTAATTGATGATCACTTGCAATCAACAACAATAACAAACATTAAAACTGTGAAGGCTCCGAAAACATGTGTCTATAATTTACGTACTTCTCAACCACACACCTACTTTGCTAACAAAATTGCTGTTCACAATAAGCTTGGAACAACATTTGTAGACCTAAGTAAGGACAATGGTCTTAAGCGAATTGAATTTAGTCCTACTGCACCTTCTTGGCGTATTGCAAGACCTGGAATTTGTATCGAAGGCAAATGTTCTAATCAATCTTGTAGAGCATATAAACAGATGGTGGTAGTAAATATTGGGATCAGAGAATTTAATCTTCTTAACGAAAGTCATAAAATGTCAAAATGTCCTGAATGTTCAAGGTACGTTGAACCCATAACATGTGCTTTCAACAACTGTATTTGGCGATGGGAAGGCCTACTACAGTCCGGAACTGATACAGAACCAAGGGAAGTTTCAGGAGATTGGAAACGTGCAGACAATGCTTACCATCGTTTCGATGAAAATGTTAATGAAGCAGCTGTCTGGCGACAATTGAATCTTTATGCAAAAGCAAAATAAAATACTTTTTCTAAAAACTTTTTCTTGGCTTTATTCAAAGATTTCATTAATAACCACAGATTATTTTTGTGAAATTCTTTATTTATAAGCTAAATGTAATTCATATAATATAACAGATAAGAGCATACTTTCATATGTAAATGAGAGATTTTTCTAGGATCAGTCAATGAACTATGATTATCGTGCAGTAGATAGTGATATTTGGGCACTCTACAGAGTGCTAAATACGTGTTATAAAACTGTTTCATTCATCACTATGCCAAAAAAGTGTGATTTTAACTACCTGAATGTGTTTCTCATATTCATTTATACCTCAATTCGAATAACATTGGTTGACATATAAACGTCTCCCGATTCTGGACGCAGATAAGCCTTAGTAAGATTTCAAAACCAGTAATAGGGAGATTTATGCTGAAATGAACGATATGGTAGCATCTCACGATCTTGTTTTTCTTTAATGAAACTATAGTATCTGGTAAATATCAATCTAATTAAAAATGAACGAGATGATTACTAATTTGGAACAAAAAATAGAATGTGAAATAAATTTGAAGGCAACATGTAAGATATTGTACCATATATCTTTATTGATAATTACTACGACAGCAGTGAAAACAGATATCTTAATTAGAGTGAACGAGATTTACTTTATCTTGAAAATTTTTAAGCGAGCTGTTCAATAATAAAAGCAAAAAGAGTAAATATAACCAGAGTACTTTTTGTACCTTAATGAAATGTATATTATTCGCATTTTTATTCTTTTTTAAGAGATACTTTTCATATGTAATTTGCATGGAAATTAACATAAAATTTATCAAGTGTAACCAACTGAATCATCAATACAACCATACTTGATTATATAGAGTCTGTTGGGGTAATTCTGATCAAAAATTAAAAATTTCATTTTATTTTTTTCGTTCTCATTCACCTTACTTTGTAGAAAGGTGATTTTTTTATCATAATAGATCAAAGTGTCTTCTATCAACTGACGAAAGAATCTCTGAAAAAGCATGTACTAGAAAAAAGTAATAGCAAAAATGCTGAGAGGGGGTGCGAGCTGATCCGAATGACCCTAATTGGGATAATTCGGATCAGTCAATCAAACTAGTCCGGGTAATTCCGATCACTCCAGCAAAAATAGCTGTAATGTTTTTCCCCGACTCATAACTTTTTTTTTATCCATTGTCATATGAATAAAAACTACACCATTCGATAGCTCAAAGTCTTGTCCATGGAACCTGAAAATATTTCGATGGATGAATGAACCGTTGCGATATACTGAATAAAACTCTGAGGCCACTCTCAACCATGTAAAAAAGCATTTGGGGTAATTCGGATCATTCTAATTCCATTGACTGTAATCAGGGTCTTAATCCCGAAATTGACTGTGTTTGTCGGCAGAGTAATAGTTCGAATCCATGTCACAGGAAAAAGCGATTTTTTAGTGGCACCCTTAGGTCCTCAAGTCCTATATTAGGGGGAGTACCTTTAGGTGCTCAAGTCCTATATTAAGGGAGTATCTTTAGATCCTCAAGTCCTATATTAGGAAGTACCTTCGGGTCCTCAATTTCTGTAATAGCGCGTACTCCTGGATCCTGAACTTCTATATTAGGAAGGTACCCATAAGTCCTCAAGTCTTATATTAGGAAGGTCCCCCTAGGTCCTCAAGTCCTATATTAGGGAGGTGCCCCCAGGTCCTCAACTTCTGTATTAGGAAGGTACTTTAGGTCCTCAAGTCCTATATTAAGGGAGTATCTTTAGGACCTCAAGTCCTATATTAGGAGGGTACTTCTAGGTGCTCAAGTCGTATATTAAGGGAGTACCTTTAGGTCTTCAAGTGCTATATTAGGGAAGTACCTCTAGACCCTCAAGTCCTATATTAGGAAGGTACAGTTGGGTCCTCAATTCCTATAATAGCGCGTACTCCTGGGTCCTGAAGCCCTATATTAGGTAGGTACCCGTAGGTCCTCAAGTCCTATATTAGGGAGGTACCCCTAGGTCCTCAAGTCCGATATTATAAGGATGTTTTTAGGTCCTCAAGCCCTATATAATGGGGATGCCCCTAAGTCCTCAAGTCCTACATTATGAGGTACCCTTAGGCCCTCAAGTGCTATACGCATGCGAATATTGCAAAGAAGATATTTATCACTAAGCAATCAGTAGTATAAAGAGAAATGAAAACATTAGTCAAAAAGAAAAAGAAGCAGACAAACAATCAAAATTAATTGCAATGTTATAGCGGAGGATATTAATGCATACAGAAGGGTAAACTCCCTCAGCTAAGTTTCTGTAGTTCAGAAACAGGCATCTAAATGGTGAAAGACTTTATACAGTGAAAGGACCCGGTGGATCGCCTCGATCCACGCTACTTGTTCATATTGCTTTTTCTTCTTCTGCCTTGTTTCGTTGAAGAATTAGTGTTTAAAGAGCTATTAATACACCCAGAAAAAATCATGCTGCAGAAGTTAGAAGGAAGAAAAAAGAGGAGATCAAGCGAAAGAAGAGCGAGAGATACACTATAGCGCCACACTGTACGCGTATCAAACAGACATACACATTCTATGCTATGATATAGGACTTGAAGACCCATGAGTACCCCGCTATTGTAAGACCTGAAGACTCAAAGATACCCCCTAATACAGAACTTGAGCACCTAGAGTAGCCCCTAATATAGGACTTCAGGGCCCAGGAGTACGCGCTATTAAAGGAATTGAGGACCCAAAGCTAGCCCCTAATATAGGACTTGAGGACCTAAAGGTATTCCCTTAATATATCCTATTGGAACATAAGTTCTGCACGTTTTTCTTTGCTGGTAGAGGAATTTTAGATCTTATATCTCGTGACGACGAAGAGATTTGTAAGTGAAATTCACAGAATTGACAGAGCTTTATGAGTCCTATCCAAATTAAAAATTTCAGATTTTTGTCTCTTCCTAGTCGTGAGATATAAGATCTAAAACTACTATGCCAGCAAAGAAAACCGTGCAGAATTTATGTTCCAATCGGATAGAATCAATGTCACTCTGAGTGTTTTTCAATCACTCTCTTTCTTATTTTTCATGGACATCGTTGACTGATACGTTTGAAACGGCTTGAAAGAAGATATGAGCTCTTAGGATCAGTGTTGACACTGAATTACAATGCACGAGTATATCTGTGCTCGAAAATGACGACAACGAACACGTAAGTGCACAGGTTTAGTAGCGCACAAGAGAAAATGAATCAATGCAATACTTTTGGCGAAGCGTCAACATCATTTTCACTCGAGAGTGCTCTCGAGAGGAGCAACAGAAATTCGAATTCAAAAGTAAACACAGCACCGAAGCACAGAACTGAAAAAGAAAATTACTCGGAAGAAAGTTGGAAAAAACCCACCAAAAAAAATTGTTTATACACATTCTATTTGTTTCTCGCCATGACTACTTTCAATAAAAAAAGCAGAACTCATTTCTTCGTAGTTTCTCGTGGTGAGTACGCGTATTTCAATTTCCGTTCATCTTTTGAAATCAGCAATCGCGCCATCGAGTAAAGATCAAAATCAAGCAAATATCAGCATTAACACTCCCATCAAATAGCAGTCTTCCTGGCTCTACTGATGCAGATGAAGATCGCGAACGTATTCTACATAACTTCACAGTAATTTGGGTGAATACTCAGATAAATGATTCCGATCAAAAAACCAAATATCCTGTTGGAACATAAGTTCTGGAGGATTTTTTCGTTGTTAGGAGAGTTTCAGGCCTAATACCTCGTGACTAGGAAGATAAATGAATCTGAAAATTTTAGAATTGATAGAGCTTTATGAGTTGTATCTACGCTAAAAGAGAATACATCCTATTCCGCGATGTTGAACATTGCGGCATCGATTCCGCCCCCGGAATTAATTTCACCGATTCCGGAACCGGATCAACCCCACTTACAATCAATTCCGGAATTTCTCGCATCAATTCCGGAATTAATCGGACTGATTCCGGAATTACCCGGCTAGATTCCGGAATTGCTCACTGGCATTCCTTCTAGCTCTCACCCTCAACATTGGCTATTGTGCTTAGAACAAGCGAGCGATTCCGCTGAGGAATTTCCGGAATTGAATTGGCACGGAATCAGTAGGAATTCCACGGAATTCCGTGGAATTCCTGAATTGGAAGAAGCGACTCCGGATCCGGAATTGCAAGCAACGATTCCGCAACCGGAATCCCTAACTAGCATTCCTTCTTGCCCTCACCCACACATTGGCTATTGTCCTTAGAACAAGCGAGCGATTCCGCAGAGGAATTCCCGGAATTGAATTGACACGGAATCAGTAGGAATTCCAAGCCACGATTCCGGATTCCGAATCCCTAACTAGCATTCTTTCCTGCCCTCACCATCTATTCCTTCTCCGAAACCAAAGTCTCTTGGAAACACTTCAGCGAGAACTGTAACGTTGTCTCGTATTTGAATCAACATTATTAGTGAAATAGGTACGAGTTACTGCAAGAGAACTGCCCGCGACTGAACGTCCCATACTAAGTTAGAATAACATTATTCCAAGGTATCTAACGGGTGCGCTATAATAAATTGCACTAAATGTGTTTGCTTTTTCTTCGGTCATTTTTTGTGTTCAGAAAATATGTTCATTTTTATACATATTACACAATAAACATACAGAAAAAAATATTCTGAATATTTTTGCTTAAATTTTGTTTTTTCCTCGACTGTAGGGAGGATGATATGAAAAAAAATAGTTTGTTTGTGGATTTGTGGGTTTGTGTCAGGGTCAAAGGTCAAAAGAACATTAGCATTACAAGTTCTGAAAAACTAGCTAAGACTTCTGTTATATATATTAGGAAGGTACTGATAGGTTCTCAAGTGCTATTTGGGGGGTCCCGATTTTTGCCACTATTGTACCTGTGAAACATGGTGTTGTTCGGGCCGATTTGGAGTTTTCGAGGAAGCTCTACAATCCGCCCCGAACAACATACTGTTTCTTCCTGACAATAATGGGCAACAAGAGAGGG